AATATGAGTCTGAATATCATGCAGAAATGTATATGCAATGTAAGCATAAGGACATTACAATGAAATACAATTGTTCAGTAGAATACCAAGTATCAAACAATTCAAAAGACAGTAATTAATACAATACAAAAATTGATGCAGCCGTACAAGTATTTTGTCTTAATTAAAATAGACAGTTATTACGATTATAGTTTATAATATTCATAGTCTAAAGACGTCATAGCAACCAGTTACAGTAAACAGACACACCCTACAATCCTCATCATTACTGCAATGGCTACTGGTAGACATAGGTATAGGTTTGTTGATGGTGAGCCTAGGGATGGATTAAAATGTAGCAAATGTCACCTTGTACTATGTGATCCTCAACAAGCTACCTGCTGTGCAAAAAGGTTTTGCAAGAGCTGTCTAGATCAAATGGAAGACAAAAGGTGTCCTTCATGTCGAGAGCCAATCAACTGCTTTAGAGATGGTGGAATCAATCGTGAGATCATGGGTCTTAAGGTTTACTGCACTAACAGTGAGGAGGGTTGTGAGTGGCAGGGAACTATTAATGAAACTGATGATACATCAATTGACACTCATCTTAATACTTGTCCCTATCAACTGGTACCTTGTACTAATGGATGTGGAGAGAAGATTAGGAGAAACTCACTGAAGACACACCTGACAGACAACTGTCTTGAACGAATGGTTAACTGTCAGTACTGCAACCAAAGAGGTCGATATCAACTGATAACAAGCAGCAGTCATTTTGATGAGTGTCCTGACCTCCCAATCCAATGCAGTAATGAAGGTTGCAATATGATACCACGACGACATTCACAATCACTACACAATGAGACCTGCCCTAAAGCTATCATACCATGCGCATACAATACTGTTGGATGTAATAAGGTAATGAAGAGAGAAGAACAAGAGAAGCACAATGAAGACTCAATAACAGCACACCTACAACTGACAAAGAAGCAGCTAGGGAAGGCAAAGGAACAACTACAAGTCATCAGGTGGTGCTACCTTTATATATGTTGTGTGTGTGTCTTTGTTTTTGTCTTTGCCTTTGTCTGTGTCTTTATGTACAAGGAACTGGAAACAACAAACAAACAAATGCAAGCGTCGTATAAACAATTGGAAAGAACAACAAAGGAACAAATACAAAAGACAAATCAACAACTGGAAACAACAAATGAACAAATGCAGGTAATGTATAAACAATTGGAAAGAACAACAAAGCAACAAATACAAAAGACAAATCAACAACTGGAAACAACAAATGAACAAATGCAAGTGACATATAAACAATTGGAAAGAACAAAAAAGGAACAACTGGAAATGGCAAGAAAAGAACAAATAAAAATGATGAATAAACAACTGGAATCAACAAAGGAGCAACTAAAAGTGGAAAAAGAAATAATAAAATCTTTGAAAACAGCTTTAGAGCAGAAAAATCCATTAATGAAAACAAATGAAGTATTGAAGCTAAGCCAATTTACTGAGAAAAAAGAAGAAGATAAGGAGTGGTTCAGCCCAGGATTCTACACATCACAAGGAGGATATAAGATGTCACTACGTGTTATTTCTAATGGTAATGGTGAGGGTAAAGGCACACACGTCTCTTGCTACATACATCTCATGGCAGGAGAATATGACGATGCATTGGAGTGGCCATTTCAAGGAGTAGTTACTATAGAACTACTAAATCAACTGGAGGATAGGAATCATTGGAAGCATTTTATACCAATTGATGAGTCAATAGAAGATGAGGTTAAGCAAAGAGTGAAGGAAGGCAGAAGCACAAGTGGAAGGGGTCCTCCAAAGCTCATATCACATAAAGAGTTAAAGTACAAACCAGCTACTAATTGTCAGTATCTTAAAGATGATAGTCTGTACTTCAGAGTCAGTGTGAAGGTTACATCAAAGACAAAGCCATGGCTAGTGGGAGCATCAAGGATTATATAAACAAGAAACTTTAAATCTTAGCAAGTAGTACAAATGTCTTGTAAAATTTATCGTCTCATTTTAAAGTGTACAAATTGTTTTTTTGCTGAAATTTGTAACATTAAGCTTTGCAATGCTGCTAGTTAAAATATATTATATATACTTAAACTATTTTACACTGTTACGCTTGTTCTTATTTTGCTAAATTAAAGTCACCTTAAAATATTCTGTGTTTATAGTATGTATTATTGTATTGTCATGTATGCAATGCATTGCACTGTTGGCAGTCTATACCAGAACACTTAAAAATAAAACTTAATTAAAGTGCTTAACTCAAACAAAAGCTAATTCAATACTAGCTTCATTCTAGTACAAATCTTCATGTAAAAATAAAATTAAAAAAATTATCTCATCTATTGTATGCTATAGGATAAGCCCATTTTAAAATAAAGACGACACCATTTATATTAAGAGTTGTTTATATTCATAATCTGAAATAGTAAATAGACAATCCTTAATTACAACTGTTTAACCTGCAGCTTGCAAAATGCACTTGTCAACTTTTGTCAAGTGCATTTTTGCGAGGATCAGGCCCCGCCTGATTAGATATGACTATAAGTTTTTTGATGGTGAGCCTAGGAAAGCACTGAAATGTAGCATTTGTACATTTGTACTACGTGATCCTCAACAAGTTACCTGCTGCTTCAATAGGTTTTGCAAGAGCTGTCTAGACCAAATGGAAGGTATTAGATCTAATACCTGTCCTTTATGTCAAGAGCCAATCAGCTATTTCAAAGATGGCGGAATCAATCGTGAGATTATAGCCCTTAGGATTCACTGCACTAACAGTGAGGAGGGTTGTAAGTGGCGGGGACTATTAATGAAACTGGTACATCAATTGATACTCATCTTAATAGCTGTACCTATCAACTGGTACCTTGTACTAATGAGTGTGGAGAGAAGATTAGGAGAAGTTCACTGGAGACACATATGAAAGA